ATATATATATATATATATATATATATATATATATATTAAAAAAGGACCATCCTTAGGAATAGTAAAGTTCTTGAGGTTTTGGCAAAATTTGTCATTTGTTTATGGGTATGTGTTCTCTTCTAGCTTTGTTGCTGGCGATTTTTGTGTGGGGCATTTTATGCCATTTTTTCAATTCTTTGTGGAAATGTGCATATAATCCAAAGTCGATCCTTCTACCACTAACCGATCCCTCTACCACTAACGTGGAGTTTGGTTGTTGCTCATCGATTTTGTAACCCAATCAGATTACGATTGGTGTCCCCTTCCAGTTCCTGATATCTTCCCGATTGTTCTAATTTTTTAACCTGATTTCTTCTGTCTCACACCCCCAAACCGAAACGGCGGAAACGTTCGGGGATGGATGACGTCATGCGTAGTATCACAACAACTGCATCATAGTAATCAAAGTAAACACAACCATTACATTGAATTTAATAAAGGCATTTACATCTGTTTGATTCATATTCATATACATCAAAAAGACAACAAAATATAAACACGTGACCCTATAAGCTCTGTCTTCTCAAAAGCTGCGGGAGTATCTGTCTACTGATTTCCTGATAATACAAGCGGTTTTGAAAAGAGTATCAACATTAAGCTGGTGAGTTCATAAGCATGTTTTTGTAATGAAAACCTGTTAATGAATCAGTAAAAATGTTTGTATGTTTCCAAGAAAATCCAATATTTTCTAACATATGAGTTTGTTACAGTGTTCCATGAAGTACGAAAGCCCTGGCTATCACCAGTATGTATAGAATGTTATGTTGGAAAACCCTGGTTACCACCAGTATGTATAGTAGTTTCATTACTTAAAATAAAACCATGTATTTTATCCCCTGAAATCCTCCAGTATAATGTATAGTAGTTCTATTAATTAAAATCAAACTAATGAAGAATGAAATCCCATAAACAAAAGGTTAGTTTATAATATTGTGAGTCGTATAACCATGCTTGATATGACCTAGTGACCTTTACGACGTTCTTCAAGTGTCGAATATATGACATTTGTCACCCCAAGCCTGCCTGCCTAACTATAGCTAGCAGTTCAGGTGTGGGATTGTCAGTCCCGAATAGATCTATTCACAAATCTCACGCTCTCCCTCCAGGAGACTCTGGTTATACTATGATAGGATTTAGTTCAGTACCCCGAAGGGTACAATTTGAAGTAGTGTCTCACAATCCTATATTAACTAGTTTACGTGTAATGTTATATTTTCATGTACTTAAATCTGAATGTATACCTCGTAGAGTATAAATATTTATACTTACATAATTATTTAGTAATGTACTCTTGTTATCCGAAAGGTAGTAATGTATATCATAAACTAAGTCTGTCATAGTTTATATGTCTGTAAATGTAAAACCGTGTATTGAAATTTCAAATTATACCTATTATAGTTTGTATGTATGTTATGAATTTGGTTTGTGTATTGATTTGAAAACTATGCAATTATGCTTGTAAGTTGAAAACGTCCCTTATGCTCAGCATGTTACAAAATGGATAAAATATCTAAATATTTTATAAAAATGTGGAAACAGTATGGTTGTATCAATTGCATCAGTTTTAAACGTGTTGAAATCCTTTTGTCTAAATTCACAAAAATCATTTGTGTTTGGCTATCATTTATGTTTGACTTGTATTCCCCCCTGAAAACGCTAAAACAGTAAAAGCATAGGGGTATGAACTCACAGTTAGTTGCGTGACTGTACCGGACAACGAGACTGGGAACGAAGACCCTCGAGTTGATATACGCGGCACTTAACGAGATCCTAATAATAATTAAATACATATACGCATATTATTAGCGAAACCATTATTTATAGTGTTGGAAAAACACTTGCTTTTGGTTTAGGAATGTTACAGAGACTTGATTGAATCGGAAAAAGCGGGTTTTCAGCCAAGTTCATGACTTGGGGAAGTTTGCGGCCGTGAAGGGTTTCCAACCGTGAACTGTTCTCGGCCGTGAACTGTTTACTGTCCTTGAAAGGTTTACGGTCTTTGAAGGTTTGAAGGGTTCACGCCCTGTTCTTGGTGAGATATGAAGTTTTGAAGGGTTCACGGTCGTGAACTCAAGAACAACAATGTTAGATTTTGATGAAAAACGGATGTTTTGATGCTCCAAAACGGGTTCCAAGACGGATAGAGTGATAGATGAAGAGAAATCTTGTGTTTTCGGGTGATGATTTTTAGAGAGAGAGGGTGTTCGTGGCCAGAAAAATACAAATGAGGGGTAGGAGCACATATATATAGGGGGTTTTCATGGTCGGTGGTGGGGCCACCAGCCGTGAACGGGTTTACGGCCGTGATCGGGTTCACGGCCGTGAACACCACTCAGGCCGGAAACTGCTGATTTTTTGAAGGAAACTCGAGTTTTCGTGCGATTTTGGTTCCGACTCATATATAAAATTCAATTATATAACTTAAATGATTTTCCAAACCAAAGAAATTTGACTGAACTAAATAAAATTCAAATTTTATTTGACGGAATCGGGCTAACATTAACGGAAGAAGGTTCGGGTTGTCACATTCCGTCCTTTCTCACTCTTCTCACGCTCGCTTTCTTCTTTCATTCCCAGGTATTCTTCTTCCCTTGTCGGTGGTGGTGCTTCGGTTTTGATTAGCTCCATCGAAACCTCTGCTTCTTTTCTCCGCCTTTTCTCACAAAAGGTTCCTCCTTCGTTTACCTGTTCACTTTCCGCCTCCAGCGTAGAAGTTCTTGATTTTTTTTACGTTTGCTACTTATCTGAATATGTGTTGTGAAAGTTAGTTCCATAGTCAATTTTTGCCTTCCTCCGCCACCATCTCATCTATTTTTCCGAAGAAGACGGAGAAACAGCATCAACTTCACCTACATCTACCGTCAGCCTCACCTCCATCACTCACCGTCGCCCACCGTTGAGGCCGTCAAAATCATATGTTGCGTCGGATTCTAGCAGCAAAACGCATGACTTCAAAATATTTTCCCCGTTCCCTTCAGTGCCATCCACCACTTCTCATCCTACCCACCATCATCCTCTCCCACCTTCCACCGTCGCCTACGTCCGCTAGGGTTCACCATCTGACCATCATCTTCGTTTACCATGGACACCGCTATGATAGCCTGCTTCTACCAGCCTCGAATTCCAAAGATCGACTGCACCATCTCAATTTTCTGTTGTTGTTGGTCTTTGTTTGACGCCACCACCGGTTATCGCTTTTGTTTAACCATTTAATTCTTTTTCCTCTACAGAAAGGTGGAATTCGATTTCAGGTAACCACAATGGAATTCGTCTTCAGGTAGCCACAATTACTTCAACTGATTAATTGTTCATGTATGCAGTATTCATTCACGTGACATGTGTTCTACGAAGAAGTGAAGAACACCAACAAGGAGAGCACGAGACCAAGAGCCCTCTTTCGTCCATCTATTTCGACGCTATTTAAATAACTAAGCTCTACTTTTTCGATTTTAGATAATTGATTCAATACTCATGGATGCTTTCTTGATCATGTCATCACAGGCTCATTGTTGCCTCTACTTTGGTTGGTCGAAGCCTCTTACAATACCTAACACACAATCTCTCCGATCAAAATATGTTTTATCTATTTGCCTCATTTTTTAGAATCTACCGCTACCGCATTGTCCAAAATCTTGCAGCATTTACTGTATTTTTTGATAATTGATAGTATTAATCTTGAGGATCAATTCTACCACCTCCCTGCTCCATCAACCTTCTCCCCTTTCTCTAAAATTGTACTCTGATTGCGTTTTCTCTCTATTTACAACCTATTCTCGACTAAACCAATAGGGAGGTTTTGGTTATAATACTAATAAGAAAAGAAGCAAATGTGGTTCGATTTAAGTTCAAGCTTCACACTTCTGACTTTTTTGAAGATATCCTTTCTCAGGTTCGAAATCTACATCTTCATAAGTTAATGTGTTTATTTTTCTATCGAAATCTCATCTATATTTTCTTTCGTCTTGAAAAACGGTTTTCAGATCTAGATGAAGATGAACCAAATTGGAACATGAAGGGGTTTGAATAAGGGTTATCAAATTGCATCGGGTATCAATCTATTATTTTGTGAAATTTACTATAATTTTTGTGTTAGTTATGAACGCTTTGTAAAATGCTTATTATTCTTGATTGTTTTTTGTTCCTTAATGTAGTAAATTTATGTTGTAGAGATCTGTGAGTTGGTGTAAGTATATTTGCCTTTATTTGTTTCTGATCATGCCAATTTATTGTCCAGTATTGTGTTTGTTAATTGCTATTTATAAGACTTAAAATATCAAGTTTTCTGATGTTCTGTTTTTGTTTGGCTCAAGTACAAGTAATTCAGAGATTGCCCTTTATTTGATCTTACAATTTTCAAACAATTAGTGGCAAGATTCACACAGATTTAAAAGTGAAGTTTTTTGCTTTTATGAACAGATGTCATTGGATTTGTGGCTGGATTTGGCGGTAATTTCTATTTTGGTTGTGTTTAATTCCCCCACTCCTTTATTTTAATGCATCATTACGTTTTATGTTATGTTTTTTTACTTTGATTTAATTTTATTCTACCACATCCATCCCTTATTACTTTTTGTTTTTTATTAATATTTTAATGACCTATATATATTGTAAATATATAAAACATAACTTTGTTGATTTAAATAGGTGTTTGATACGGTATTTTAGAAGACAGATGTTATAAAAGATTTGAAAATCATATTTAAGACAACCCTACAACTTACCATTATCTATCTGTTGGTGATCTGACCTCAATTCCAGGTAAATCGTTGTTGATGAAGATAAGTTTAGGGTAGAAAGCAGGAAACTTGCTCCTCACCTAGCATATTCTAAAGTGGAGGTCAGTTTATTTTTAGAGATTCATAACAAATGTTTATTTTATCTCATTATTTAAGTACATTTCTAGTTGTGTTTATTTTGTCAGGGGATATATGAAACAAAAATTGGTGTGGACAACATGTTACTATGAATGTATCTAACAACATGTTACTATGAATGTATATATTGCAGATTTGATTTATTTTGGGAAAAGATATAAAAGCTCTTTTGGCTGAAAAGATATTTGTCATCAATTTCTACGTATATATAATTAACCTAATTTCTCTTATACTATTTTTATTTTCTGATTGTTTTAAATAATCATTTACTAAAAAACCTTTCTTTGGTTCCTTCTAACTTTTATGCATCCTTATTTTCATGGGAGGGCATGTATTTTTTAGTTTTTGAAAATGAATAAATGAAATTATAAATGGGAGGCTTTCGGTGTGGATTGCATAGGATCGCCACATTTAATAATGCTTGTGTATCAAGTACAATGCCTAAATGGATTTTTGACAGAAAATACCAAAAATACCCTTTCCATTGAAATGCACTATTTTGCCTTATCTTGATTTCCCGTTTTACCCTTCCTTACATATCTAAAGTTTAATAGGGGACTAGCATAGACCTAAGAAGGTTAATAGTGGTATTGATGTTTTGGCAGGCAATAAGAAGAGGTTGAATTCATCCGATTGATGGCGATTACTTGGACCGAGCTTAGATTAGTCTTTACATAAATGGTGAGTTTGTATACACCTAAGAGTTTAAGATTTTCAACTGACGTTAATTGGTTCAAGTAATAAATTACTTCTATTTATTACTTAGCTTTTAGTTCAATGTTTTTCATATTTGTTGTCATTTGTTTCACTATATTGATTTAGATGTGAATGAAATTTTGTTTCCTTTTTAGCACTACTAGAGTAATGGATAAGGGCTATCGACATCAACAAGCTTTTTACTTTTGATTTTTAACTATTTTTTGGATAGATTCGCCCTTAATGTTGAAGAGTTTTGTTGGTCAAACTATGCATGCCCGAGCATGGCGTTTTTGGACATATTTGACATTTCCCCTGCTTCGGAGTTTTCCTTAAAGTGGACAACACAAAGAAGTTAACAGGTTGAGAGTCGTTTTTGGGGAAATTTTCATATTGGTTTATGTTGACATTTTTTTTTAAATTTTATTAGATTAACTGCAATATATAACATACTTTCATTGGAAGATTATTTCCAGAATTTATTATATATTACTTATTGCTATTATCAGTAAAAAAAGATTAAAATATTTATCGTCTCAAGTTAACATCGATTGTTAATATATCTATCTTTAACGTAATGTCACCAAAACAATTAATCAATAATCACTTGTTTTCTATACTGATAACAAATTCATACCCCGCAAAGCGGGGTTCCTCATCTAGTTAAAGATTAAAGATTCACCTATTCATCAACCAAACCGTAATCATCCGAAAACTATTTGCCAAAAATAAGCTATTAGTCGTGATGAAACCATTGGTCGCTGCATAAATGTCTACACATACAAAACCTATACAATTACTCAAATTAATGTATATATTAATTTTAACTAATCATTATAAACGTATAAACAAAACTTATATTTTTTGTAATTTAACAAATCTTTAACTTTTCATTACCATTTTATATTATCAATAATGTTTTCTTTGTTATCACAGGTTTTAACCTAGTATAAAATAAACAAGAGCTTCCATGGTTCCATTGCATTTAAAAGTCGTTTGAGAATTACAACATAAAATCAAACAACACTTTTAATAGAGTACTTAAAAACAATCATATATTCTACGATCTTCCTCTACCCCTACTGAAACCACCGCCACGGCCACCACCACCACGAAAGCCGCCGCCGCCACCTCCACGAAAGCCGCCTCCCCTTGGAGCACCTCTCCCACGGAAAGAACCACCACGTCCACCGCCTCTACCACCTCCTCGTCCGCCACCTCTTCCGCCAGTTGCTCCCCTACAACATCAAGAAAGAGTAAGTTACTAAACTTATATGAGAATGAAATAACACAAAGGATACAAGAAAAATCATTACATTTCATAATCATGTTTGGTTTGACTATAAGAATGGGATGATATCACATAATAACTTTTTATATCATACCAATACAACATAGTTTTAAATCTAATCTTATTCAAGTATGACTAATGAATTTTTCATTTACCAAAACTAAAAGCTAAACATAATAAAAGCTCATTAAAACCCAAATAAGATTGATAGAGGATATGTATTTTCTAAATAATTTTTTGGAGTATAAAAGAATATGATTTTTTTTGAAAAAATGTCATTGAAATTTACATAAATAAAAACAGGTCACATTGTAGTTTTCCATACGAAAATAAAACACCTCTGCGAACTAAGGAACGGAAATCAACAAAATGGTCCATTCCATTCAATCAGACAAAACAAACAACTTTTTTCAATGGAATGAGCCATTCTATTTCTTCCCCGATCCCATTGTATCACATAATGTGGGGCCTTTGAGATTAATCAACTCAAATAAACCTCTAACCCACAGTAAATCATATCATAGAACAAAGACAAAAAGTCTAGATATTTAATAAGTGTTAAAGTCAATAATAGCAACCAAGGATTTGAATTCTTGTACTCTAGGTCACTAAACATCTAATTGTACATCATAAAACTATTAATTTGTTTCAAAATAGTCATTTTCACCTGAATAATTAAAAATCAAGACAAATGACTAAAACGAAACAAAAATAATAGTCTAAAAGTACAATTAGAAGTTTTGTAACCCACAGTACAAGAATTTGAATACTTGGTTGCCATTAACCCATTTAATGACAAAGGAACTTTAAGAAAACACTTACTTTGGCTGTGGAAGAAATCTGGCTAGTGGCAACAGTTTCATTGGGTCAATATAGAACTTATCACCAGCTGCATAAGAAGTTGCTACAATACCTTCCATCATTTTAACAGAGAAGAACTACAAACAAAGAAAACCCCCAATCATAATCACTATCGAAACTACAGCATTAAATTCCATAAAAAACATGAAATCTGCATAAAAGGTTACAGAGAGTACAAGTGAATCCCAAATTATGGTTATTATAAAAACTACAGCATTGAATTCTAAAAAACAAGGAAAAAAAATTGCATAAAAGAGTAGAGAAATTGCAGGATAACTCACTGATTCATTGATGGGGCCAAAGATTTCATCAACTTTGCCTATCTGTGTTTTGTTTTGTAGGTATATTGGGGCATTAAAGTAAGGTATTTTCTCATTAGTTAGCTTTGTGACTGCATCTCCCTCACAAGCATGAACAAATGCCGATACCTCTGCACATAAGAAATAACACACACCATTAAAAACTTTCAACAAACTGAGAGTCTAAACAACAAGAACTTCATCAAACTGATGAACAAGTACTAAAAGTAATCAGGCAAATTAAAACTCCATCTGAATGGTCTGAATATTAATGATAACTAAGCTTTAAATTTTCAAAACAACATCGTAATTATCAAGCTTACTGCCGATTAAATAGATTTTTATTTTGTGAAAACGACCGAGCCGATTAGACGATTATCTCCGGTTACTTCCACAAAACTGAGTCTTTTCTGATGAAATATTTGCAAGCATGTGTGTTGTCTTGTTCGTGTTTGTGAGAGATGATTCTAACATACCTACAACTTCTTCAGGAGGGCCTTCATTGAACCGATCACCACCAAAACGACCACCGCCGCCACCTCGTCCTCCGCGGCCACCACCGAAGCGGCCTCCTCCATCCCTTCCACCCCTGAAACCGCCGCCCCCACGACTGCGACCAGCAAACCCGCCGCCTCTTGGAGGTCGCATGATTGACAAAGAAGTTAGAGATTGAGTGTAAGATTAAACAGACAAGTAAGCGTTTAGGGTTTTAAGCAAAATGGTTTTTGATAGCCATGTTTGTGAAGTAGGGTTTTAAGGTTTTCACGTTTGCTTCATTTCAGTCCTTTATCTTTACATCAATTCCAAATATCCATGAAAGTTAGGAACATCGGTTGTTCCCTCGTTGAATCAATTAACTCATTGTTTGAGATTTCATTTAAAAATAAATAGCAGGTGAGCATTGGATGAACTTCAAAATGTTTTCTTAACAGAACAATATACTTTGAATACTCACATTGTAACATTCGTTTCAGGTATGAATCAACTTTTTATGTATTAACTTTAAATTGGGTGGCCACGGCGTGGTGGAGCATCACCACGACGTGGAGGAATGTTTTGGACCGCAGAATTTAAATGACCTGCCACGGCATGGCAGGTGTTTTTGGTGAAAAACCCTAATTATGGGCTTTGGGCCCTATATAAAGAACATTAAGGCTAGGGTTCCATGATCATTCAGCCTCCATTGAAGTTGTGAGCTCCTTCTTGGTGCTTTTTGGTGATTTTTGAAGGAGAATGAAGCCCTTGGTGTAGTAGTTACTTGGCAAGCATCATTTTCTTCAGCTAGCACATCTCCTGGACCTTGGTGAGTGTCTAAGATCCAACCTTTTTCCTACCATGTTACTAGACCTCTTGATTTTTTCCTTTTTCTTCATGTCTTGATGGATTTTAGGGGTGGGATCTCATAAATTTTGCAACTTTATAAATCTCCAACTCAAATAGAGTATTTGGTGTCTTGGATCTAATTTATAGATGAGTTTTGTGTTGGTGATTTTTTTCACTAATTGTATTTAAGTGTAATGGCTTGACTTGTTGACCAAAAATCAATCTTGATGAATATTAAACAAGTAAGGAAGGTGTGGAGTGCACACTTGTTTAAGTTTATTTAAGATTGAAAGTAGACTGTCATTTAGGGGCGAAGCCCCTAAACGAACGGGGGTCCGGGGGGCAACGCCCCTGGGAGTGGGGTCCAAGGGGAGGCAGCCCCTGGCGGGGCCTAAGGGGCAGAGCCCCTGGCTGGGGTCCAGGTCAGCGCATAAATGTTTTATTTGGGTTATATTGTTGTATTAAAAATGCATCAGAAAATCAAAATTTTGATTATTTGACCCGTTTTTGGCTTTGCATGAATCCTCATAGAAAACCTGGACTTATGACAGTTTTGACTGTTAAAAAAACCGTTTTATGACAGTTTTGACAGTTTTTCAGACAAAGGAGGTTTTTAACCAATTTTTGGTCAGCTTTCTGGTACTCACAAAATTCACACATCTCATTCTTTGTTCTTTTCTATTCTGAGTCTTATCCAATCAAAGATTAGGGAGTACCACCCAAATATTTTGATTTGAAAGTGGAATCACAATTCTCAGAATATCCAAGTGCCTTTACTACCCCGAATTTCTAACATTTTGGTGTCATGCATACTAGGAGTTCAAGACATGCATTAGACATGCATGTCTGGAAAGCATGGATTTTCATGATATTTTTGGTATTAGGAACCCTTCTAGAATCGTTGGTCATGAGATCTTCAAGATTAAGTGCTTAATGATTAAGCCATGATGTGTTTTCACTCGTTTTTGGACCTAAGGGTAAGATCTTCGCCTCATGGAAGGGGATAAAGTTGAAAACTTTACCTATTTAGACCATGGAATGGACGATATCTAAGTTGTGGAGCTCTTAGTCGAAGAAAACAACTTAACCAATTAAGTTGTTTGGAAGCCAGTGCCCACGGTGTGGCCTTAGGTCGCCACGGCGTGGCGACTAGGTTAGAGCCGACTGTTTTATCGTTTTCTTGCCACGACGTAGCGACCAACTGTAGTTGACTTTGACTTTGACCAAGTTTGACTTTAGGACATTTGTGATATTTTGAGTAGTAGTTTGAATTTAGGTCACTGTTTATTGTTTAGGTGACCAGTAGAGACAACAGTTGGAGCAGTGATCTGTTCAACTACATTTCAGACTGTGAGGTGAGTTTTTCCTCACTGTACTTGTCGGTCAAAGGTACCAATGTTGGCCTACTGAATCATGTATCCTAGTATATTGGATTGATGTTGTGTTGGTTATGCGATAGACTGGTAGATCTGTATGATTACTTATCGAGTATGTGCTAGATTGGTAGATCAGCCTGATTATCTGTATGTACTTGATGGTTGTTGATTGTTATTGTATATGTCGACATGATATGGTTTGTTGGGTTGAGGCGGTCCTTCTTTGTGTTGAATGCCAAGATATATGGGGCGGTCCAGATGGGCTCCCAAGAGGTGGACCAGTCAGATCGAAGGCTTGGAGAGCGGTCCAAATAGGTTGTAGTCCCTTCGAGGCGGTCCAGTCAGGATGAAGGCTCATATTTGCATGTTGTTATATGTTGATTGTGTGTGGTACTTTTGGAGAACTCACTAAGCTTTGGCTTACAGTTTAAGTTTAATGTTTCAGGTACTTTATATGATCGGGGAAAAGCAAAGGCGTGATCGTACATATCCTTCGGTGACATGTTTAGGAGATGGTATGATACATTGATTTTGGAACATTTGTACTTAATCTTGGGTTCTTATGATTTGGATTTGATTGAAAACAATGATTTCTCTCTAATTAAAAATGAAAAGTTTTATTGTGATTTTTAGGATGTTACAAGTTGGTATCATAGCCTTGGTTTGAGAGAATTGGATAAGCATTTATGTGACTCCAGACTCAAACTAAGGATATGTTAGAGTTTTCAAAATGGTTTTCAAAAGTAACCAAAGACGGATGAGATGTGTACAATAAGCCGAAGCAAGAAAGTATAGACCGAGTTACCCATACTATTATTTGTTTATGATGTTTATGATAAAACTGCATGCTAGTGATATGCTAGGGATCTTCAAGAATTGCATGATAGAATTGCGTGATGTATGATGCCTGATAGCCTAGGAGAACTTCTTATACGTTAGATGAAATTGACATCGTTAATGTAGTTTCTTAGTGTGTGCATCATAGTTGTACATAACTAAGATTTTATAGTCTGAGTATGTTTGGTTTAGTCTTATTTCCTATTCCTTGTTTGGTTGTGGGCTTAGGGTAGAATCAAGTATTCGGCTGTCTATGGGATCCGACGTTATGTATGATTAGCATGCACGAGCGGTTACACGGTTGGTGGAAGTTTCATGAGTGAGTATGGGTGTAGTAGGCTAGTTGAGGAATGGTTAGGCACTCTCGAGAGAGTGAATATAGGATGAATGTGTATCCTAGTTGTTGGTTGTTTTAGGGTAGCTTGTGATGATCCATTGAGACAAATAAGGATAGGTGTGGAAGGTAGTATGGGCCCATACTACTAGAGGCAAAGGACCCGTATGTACAGCAAGGAAGTCACAAACCCCAAGGGTTTATCCTTTCTGTGATGGTTGTAGCATTATAATTATGGTATTTTTGATATATTGTTGGTTTATTTTCAATATGGTGTTCACGAGAGGATCTGGTTCTGGAGTTGGTGGCCAAGATAGGCTAGGATTGACAGATGACGACATCCATAAGTTGATAGCTACTGAGGTAGTTGCTGCTGTCCGGGGTGCCATCCGTGAGATTTTTGGGTGTATCAAGACTGCAATGATCGAGTTATTTGATGAGCGGTACGCCGCCTTGGCGGAGGCTGCTGCTGCTGCAGCCACTGCAACTGTCGTTGTTGTGGGAGGTCGATGAGGAGGTTCATTCCAGTATTGGGACTTCAACAACACGAAACCCCCAGAGTTTGACTGGGTCAAGGACCCGATTGTGGCTATGAGATGGATTTTTGATGTGGATGGTTGCTTCTGCACATGTTCTTGTCCGGATGACTGGAAGGTCTGTAGAAGTGTTTAATCGAGTATGAGAATCAAATCAGAGTAAAAGATGAACACACGAAGTAAATAAGGTCTGGTTTTGTGACAACCCGAACCTTTTTCCATTTCCGTTATCCAAATTCCGTTAATAAAATTTGGATGTTTATTGAGTCCCGTCGAATTCCTTTGGTTTGGAAAGTCATTTTGTTATATAATTGAGCTTCATATATGAGTCGGGACCAAAACTACGCGAAATTTCGAGTTTTCCTTCGATCAAAACAACATTCACGGTCTGACTTGGGTTCACGGTCGTACACCCGTGTACGACCGTACACTCGTTTACGGCCAACGTCGGGTGGACCCCACCACCGACCACAAACCCCTATAAATACGAGACTCTACCCCTCATTTACACTTTTCTGGCCGAACACCCTCTACTTTTCTCTCTAGACTCTCGACCGTACACCCCTAAAGCACCTTTATTCTTCCGTAAAACATCGAAAAACACCATTGGGGGTTCATTTCGGAGCATCTAGGACACGTATTCATCGATTACAGCACTCTTGTTCTTGAGTGTACGACCGTATACCTTCAAGTTCATTAACCGTACACTCATTCACGGCCGTACACCTTCAAAGGCCGTACACCCCTTCAAGGCAGTCTATGGCCGTACACGGTCCACGGCCGTACACTCCCTTTCACGGCCGTACACACTCCTTAAGTGGTACATTAGGCTGAAAACCTGCTTTCCTCGATTCAATCAAGTCCCGGTAACATTCCTTAACCGAAATCAAGTGTTTTTCCAACACTTTATTTAATGAAATCGCTAATTTAGATACATATATGTATTTAATTGTTATTAGGATTTCATTAAGTGCCACGTACAACAACTCGAGGGTCTTCGTTTCCAGTTCATTGATTCGACGCTTGCACACAATTA